CCACACACACACACCCACACACACACACACAACACACACACACCACAACACACACCAACACCCACCCACCCACCACACCCACTTGTACCATAGTCATATTTTTGTTCTGTTTGTTTGGTTTTAGGTCCTCTCGGTTTGTTGGGTTTCCTCTCTATCGCTGACTGACGAGTTCGTGGTATGTATTCGACTCGTCGGTGGTCCACAGAAATCGTTAAAAAGGTGGAACTGTCTAGCTCGGGAGTGATTACGATTGTTATTCTGGGACCCTTGTATACAATCATAAAAAGTGAAGGTTTGTGCATCGGAGAAGGAGACCGTGCTGGGAGTCCGGTCTACGATGTATAGAAACGTATAGGGGGATGTTCTTTTGTTATGTGAATTCTGGTACTGACTTATTCTTTTGTATTATGCTTTAACAAATTCGAACGGGCATGCTACTCGGAAGTGATACCTACTAGGTAACATTATGAGACTCGGAGCCCACAAAGGGGACTGATTCTGCTCAAGTCACAGGACCTCTAGCGCGGTCAACCTTGACAAACCATAATTTTCGGTGAACAAATCCCTAGGACGTACTTTGTACCTCTTTAGAGGAGCTAACTGACCTGTTTCGTTTCGAGCGTTCAGGTTTTCCAATTCTGCCACGTCTTCTTACTTTTAGACTTGGTTTATTTCCGGGATTGGTCGGGCATACGGGAAAATAGGTAATAGTATTAAAACGTGAATTACTTATAAATGGACATATCCCCCCCCCCCCCCCCCCCCCCAAAAGGACAGGGACTTTTTTTTCTGTACTGGCGTCATTTAGTCAACTAAAGTAGGCAACGTGTGCGTCGAAATGTATACAGTAGTCTACTTATTCAGAGTCAAGATACAAAGGTAGTAAACCTTTCTCGAGCGAACTTCTGTGAACCGAGAACTCTGTATCCTACATGTAAAACATTAATACATCCCACGATTCGAACTGAAGAGAGTGCACCACGTTAGGAAAGAAAATTCACTCCTACAACTCTCAAAGTATAATAACTCAATAGGTTCACACGACGGGAGACTAATGTGTTGAATTAATTTCAAACTTGACTCAGAGGACCCACGTCAACATTTACATAGATACGTAAGTAAGTGTAGTATTAATGTAGTGATGTTGTGACGTGTACGCTATCGGGGGTAACCAAGATTTGGGCCCATAACAGTAGGAAAGGTCCTGTCAATAGTGGACGGACGTGTCGTCACGAATCTCATACCAACGCGTACACACACACACACACACACACACACACACACACACACACACACACACACACACACACACACACACACACACACACACACACACACATTACTGATGAACATACACACATCGTTTGTGTGGTCTCCATGTTAGGTCCTTCCTTGAGCCAGTTCGTGACAAATGGCGGCCCATCAAAGTCAAATTTGTGTGGAATGAGTTTTCTTTGCTACTTATGGTTGGAGTTACAAACATGTTGATCGTGGTTTTTTGGGAGAGCTTTAAATTAATCGAATTTGGGCAATTTCTTGGGGGCTAAATGGGAAGTACTAAAATGTTTTTAAGTGACATTTGACTGGTGTTCTCCTCTGAGAGGCATAGCAGCAAGTCCTTCAAGATAATCTGTTGAGGGGTGTTGGGTTAGGGTTGCGTGTGACAGAAATAAGTATATACTGTATATAATGCAAGGGTTTGGTAGGTGTTAGCTCATTTGGTTAACTACGTTGTGTGGTCTCCATGTTTTGTCCTTCCTTGAGCAAGGTCGTGATAAAAGGGAAGGAAGGAAGGCAGTTGAATATTGCTCACACATTCTTTCAAAGTCAGGTAATAACTAAAAACCTTATGGCTCTTACTGAGTTAAACAGGCCAACATTTAATCCCTGGAGCCACTATGAGCTAGGAGGTGCGCCAAAAATGTAGTTGTCGGATTGTTCAATTCAATCTTTTTCTACTTCTACTGTAACATTCACCATACAGTTACTTATAATGGAAATAATAATTTGTCGTTGAAAACTGAGGATTTTGCAGATTAAAATTGAATGCATCCTGGGCGTCTTGGATGGAGGTCTGATCAGTAGAAGGTTCTCACAAGTGTAGTAATCCAAATGTGTGTGTGTGCGTGTGCGTGTGTGTGTGTGTGTGTGTGTGTGTATGTGTATGTGTATGTGTGTGTGTGTGTGTGTGTGTGTGTGTATGTTTATAACACAGGGTTCATTGCTATTTCCCCAAAATATTTGCCTTGGGTGTAGTGCTGGTAAGTGGCTGGGTGTCAGGTCGTGGAGAGAGAGTGTGTCTGTGGCCAGGTGGTGCCTTTGAAAATAGATCAGAACGAGTTCTGGCCTAATTAGCAGCGTGTTTACACGACACATCTGGACTACGCCTCCATCTGCTGAGTGAAAAGCAACATGGGAGAAAATTATGTGAGGAGGTCAATACGGACAAATTCATTCAGTCAGGGAGGAAAACACATGTAGTCCATGAGGTTTAGTGGACGCCAATATACTTGGTCAAAATGTTGAAGATACATTTCTTCTTTCAGTTTCAATAATATAGATATTGTCAAGAAAATTCAAAAGCTTCTTAATAATTGGACCAAACAATGAGCGACTGCATCCCCTGTTTTGATATTATACAGGATTGGAGTCCATTGAGCTTTAAAGTTTGTACAGTTGGTGGTCCAGTGATGCACACACAATGATTCTTTGTTAGTTTGGAGGGAATCTTGCGTCTTCTTTCCCCATCTGCAAGTCTTTTAAGTATTTCTTCGGACATATCAGTCCAAAACACATATATCACAAAAATGACCTGAGATTTGCCTTTGGTGGGGTACAAATTGCATTCTGTCAAATTCAAAGTCTTTGTGTCAATATGTGACTGCTAATACATGAGATGTTTGGCTGGCAGTTAATACAAATTCAGAGCCAAGCAACTTTTAGGCATGATATTTTTTCTGGTATTTTTTATATCTTACTGGAATGTTGTATATTTTCATGAAATCTTGCAGACACTCATGGCCCTGGACACATTTTAAAATGGACTGCAATTAAATTTGGCTCAGATGTCCATGGGGGAGACAATGAATCCTAGTTTGGGTGATCCCTTTACTTTTCCTCTAGTCTCATTGATTATCTCACATTCTTTGCTTTCTATACACTAGGAATAAATCAAATGGCTTTCAGGTCAGACATTATGGGCCAAACCATGTAGACTTACTGAAAAATAGTCTCTCATGCACATTGCATCAAAATGCCGCCACAACGTTATGATTGAGCTTAGCAATCATCCCTTCATTCCTATACCTGCCATGTCCCGAGAGCACATGATTATTACCTGCTCCAAGCAGGTTATGTGTTTGTTTGTTTGTTTGTCAGCAGGATATCTGAAAAACTGCTGGCATTTTTACAAAAGCTGTAATTTTCTAACAAACACTTGTGGGAGTCACTAAAAATAAATATACTGTAGGTAAGAAGAAATTAAATATTTGATGCGATAAAACAAAGTTGGTGGAATCTGACGTGAAAATGCTCCGTGAAGAATTGTGTTGCAGCTACCTATGCATGACTTTGTTATTTTCCCAGGGTGAAATATATATAGTCTTTTATTTTGGGTATCATTTACTGCACAGCTACCATACAGTTTTCACAAAAATGGAAATGCATGGGAACTAATTGGCAAAATGAAAGTGCAGTAGGAGCGGAGTCCCCATACTGCTTATTCATTTACCCACCGCAGACAAGTGAATGTGTGGAGGCTTTGATTCAAGTTATACATTTAAATGGAGCCTCAGCGTGGAGCTGAGAGAAATGCATACCGGGCGCACCCACACTTCCTGCCTCCATGACGGACTCAAACCCAAAACAACTATTAGTATTAAGAGTGCACAACTTCCTCTTATCAACACTGACGCAGGGAGATTAAAACAGTTTGTTACCAAAATGACTACTATTATGCTTTTAATCATGGGGGGGGGGGGGGGGGGAGTACTAACACTTAAATTACAAGCATCCGCAATATATTCATCATTAAACTATGATTTATTATTATCTATGCAAAAAATGTGGCAAAAAAAACATTTGCCTAAACTTAATCCTTACATGGTAACAAAATTATTCACAGTGTGTCAAACCCTGCAGAGAACAATTAACTTCCTGTCACTGAAGAAAATAAACATTTTGTAAGCGTCTGCAATGAGTGGGTTGTTTAACAGTATCTCAATTGGAACTACATGGACTGTCATATTAAAAAAGATCTGCACCGAGTCAGTGATGTGAAGAGCATGCCTGCTGCAGGCAGCTATTGTTTCCTCCATTGTTCTCCCTGGTGACTTAAATAAAGAGAGTCTCCAAAGCCACACAGCTCTAAATATGTATTTCTGCTGTGCTAATTAGAGAGTGCCTGTCAAGTGGGCACTGAGCCCAGGACGAGGAATGGCTAAATAAAACAAAAACAAAGCATCCAAACGTCAAATTATAAACATTTAGACAGAGAGTCATGGAGAAGGAAAAAGTCAATATAACTGCAAAGGTGACTTTTTGTGTGTGTTTGTTTATTGAAGCGGCAGCGTGGCAGTGACAGGAGTCTGAGGTTTGGTCACAAGATTTGAGAATGTGACTGTGGAGCGAGAGCTGTTATAAAAAGGCAAGAAAGGTCACACTGTCAGTGAAGCAAAGGAAGCAGCTTAGAGTATTTAACACAAGAAAAAACAGTTGTTCCGTTAGTTTTACAATGGCTCAATTAAGACGGCCAAAATCTGATTTTACTGCAACATTGTGACCGTTCTCATTCCTAGGGTGTCAGATATGCAAGTTTAGTCACAGTCTTAGGGGTTGCGTTAAAGAACGACTTGTTTTTTATTATGATGCCCTGGCCAAAAAGTCATGGATTCCACTGGTTGGTTACGCTGTGTTCCATCTGTGGCTGGATGTTTCACCCATTCACACATCCACCAGACACAGGCTGTCTGATGACTAAGTGTCCAACACTCGCTGTGGTTTGTTCTCCACCAACTCCTGAGGAAAACATTAGGCATTATTCAAGTGAAACTGTAAACCTTGTGGATGCTTCACATTTCTAAATAAAAAATGTCCGCAAAAATGTGTCTTGTCACTCAAACATCTATAACAGGATTTCTCTCCGCTTTACTTGCAATACATC